TCTGTCTCTGTTGTTAAATAAATATTGCCATAACAGTCAGTTTCGGTCCTCCGTACTGCAGAAGCCTGATAATCACCCATTCATTCAAATCAGGTGTGTTTGAGCAGAGAAAAAAATAAAACATGCAGGGCTGCGGCCCTCGAGGACCAGGATTGCCGCCCCTGGTGTAAAGAAACCTAAAATTGAAACTGACTTAAACTGTCCTGTAAAATAATCCGTTTGATAATTTGACCCCAAATTTATCATGTCTTTCACTTCCAAACTGATTTGGGAATAAACTGATGAAATCAATAAAATGTAAAAAATCTCTTCAAGAAGAGTTCTAGTTTTTTGTTTCCACCCTCATCATTTCCACCAGTTTGGTTATTCTAATCAGAACAAGACTTTGTGTTTTTGACAGTAAAGGTGAACAAACAGAACACAACCTGGCTGCATAATGTCAAACTTCAGCTAAAAGGCTGAATAAAAATCACATATTTGCTTTTTTTTAGCTAGAATAATAAACAGAATTAAAGAAGCTGCGCACTTAATGAAATTTGAAACATGAAACTTGCTAAAAACAGGAACATTAATGTGGAAGTAATTGTGGAGTTTGAATATTAAATTTTGACTATTTTTTTGTTTAAAACCTGAAACATAATAATAAGCTGTAATAATGTCCCATGTGTGTTATTTTTATGTTTTAGGGTGTCCACACTGTAAAAATTCCATCCCTCACTTCAGCACAGCAGCAGATCTCTTTAAGGAGGATCGTAAGGTCAGTTTTTTTTTTTTTTACATCTTCAGTTTATTACAGCTGTGGAACAAGCTTCAGTGTTGATGCATCCAGACAACACTCATATTTTACTATTTAACTTTTCTGTCAGGTCACAGTGAAAAGATGAAGATGCATGAAACGTATTTCTTCATCCCACTGCTCTTATACAGGCCTGTGTTGGTAATATTGGACTTTAATATTACTGGATTTAAATATTCTGGTCAACAACCAGAAATATTATCAGTTTTCTGTGAACACCTCAACATAAATGGTTTAATAGAAAAAACAAAGCTTCTTTTTTACATCAGCAAAATGTTCTCTGTCTGAAGACAGTAACTAAAACCTAGTCAGCTAAATATTTTTGTCAAAAACCTGACATTAAAGCTTCTGTAACTTAGACAACTTATAAACATTTCTGTAGTTTAATTTAAAGACTTCACTATTTACAGGAATAATCAATAACTTTCCAATTAATATCAAATAAGTGGCTCTACAAATAACATGCTTGAATGTTGACCAAAGGTTTTCTATTCTGTAGTTAGTGTTTTAAACTTTTATTAGAGCCTAATTTAGTTTAGTTTAGTTTAGTTTAGTTTAGTTTAGTTTAGTTTAGTTTAGTTTAGTTTAGTTTAGTTCCTCAAGGCTCTGGATGTTGTAGGGTTGTGTTGGCTCACGCGACTCTGCAA